AATTACAAAACTCAAGAGCCCAATTCATTTAGCCAATCGGCACCCACCCCACCACCTACGTAATGCCTTGGGCTCCAACTTAGTAATAATAATATAAAACTTAAACCCTAAATCTATTAATGAGTATGTGTTACAACGTAGCCTTAACTTACCTATTCATTACATTACGGTCCTAGCTTACCTAAAATTACAAAACTCAAGAGCCCAATTCATTTAGCCAATTGGCGCCCACCCCACCACCTACGTAATGCCTTGGGCTCCAACATAATAATAATAATGTAAAACTTATATTAGCCTACCTATCGATACACTTACAGCGTTTTAATTTACATTACAAGATTGCCCTTAATTACCTATAAAATTAAATTACTCTCAACCTTAGTAATAATAAATTAGAATGTGTAATGAAAATAAAATTACGCTCAAATACTAACATATGTGTTTATGTATGTATTTGTGTGTGTGTGTGTAATACGCTGATGCATGTAATGTTGGTGCAAGAAAAAAAGAAGCGATAAACTTACGCGCCTACCTATTCAACTACATTAGTGTTGGATGCTGTTTATCTATCCTACCTACAATTAAAATTATGCCTATCTAACCTACCTATATAGTTACTTAATGTATTTGTGTGTGTAAGCGTGTGCGTGTGAGCATTCTTACTTAATGTTAAATTACAGAGAAAAACAGAGAAAAAAGAATAAAACGTATCCCGGCCAGGCGTGTGTTCTTTGCCACTGAATGAATGAACGCAGCCTGACATCCTCCATGATGGACTCCTCTGGAAGCTTCAACCTGAATGAAATGGAAAAATGTTATTTAATTAATTTAAATGAAAATAGAGAAACGAGCCGCGGTGAAACCCGCCAGCCGGAAAAGCCAGCCAACTGGCAAAAAGAACCGCAAAGAAACCGTAAAACGAACCCCAGCCAGGCGTGCATTTTTTGCCCCTGAATGAATGAACGTAGCGTGACATCACAACCATTCTGATCTTCCCCGATGAACTCCTATGGAAGCTTCAACCTGAATGAATGAACCTGAATGAACCTAAATGAATGGAAAAATCTTATTTATTTAATTTAAATGAAAATAGAGAAACGCAAAGAAGCCGACCGGTCGGCAAAGAAAAGAACCTCAAAGAAAGGTATCTATATAACTCTATATAACTCTATATAACTCTATATAACTCTATATAACTCTATATAACTCTATATAACTCTATATAACTCTATATAACTCTATATAACTCTATATAACTCTATATAACTCTATATAACTCTATATAACTCTATATAACTCTATATAACTCTATATAACTCTATATAACTCTATATAACTCTATATAACTCTATATAACTCTATATAACTCTATATAACTCTATATAACTCTATATAACTCTATATAACCATGCATACTACCACATTCAATCAATAAAAATCCCACTAACCACCAGGAACCACCGCGTACCTGCTGAATGTATGAAGTGAAACAAAACAAAAAAAAACACAAAACAAAAATCACACCACCAAGTAGAGTAAAAGAATAGGAGTCCCTAACCTACCTATGTAACTAAATTACCTTATGCCCTAGCCTACCTATATAATAAATTAATTTTTACCTCACCTACCTATGCTTCATTAACTTAACTCAAGACTCATGAAGAAAGAGAAAAAGGAGTAAAACAGAACATAAAATACTACCACACAAACAAACATGATGTATGTATGTATGTATGAGCAACCGCTAAAGAACCCACCTAAAATATAAAAAAATACATCATACAAACCACAGACATGCAAACTCTATATAACTCTATATAATAAAATAAAATTAAAATAAATAAATTAAAAAAAATAAATATAAAAAAATGAGATCAGGCACTCCGACTCGAGCGAGGCAGAAATGCCTGATCTGATTTCAACGCTTTTTCAGCTCCTTTTTATACTCGTTTGAGCCATACATCCTCATCACTTCAACCATTCACATCAGTGAAAAGCTTATTTCATGTATGTAATACACCACTATACATTCTTAACAACATTGCTAACCAAGCTAAATTGACTCCAAGCAGGTAACGCCATAGAAGCTCTCTGATTGGCTGGCCTGATCTTCTATGTATAATGCCTCTTATAAAAACATATAAATTATAAATTATCGTTACTTTCTGTATATTTATTCATTATTGAATTTCTATGGGAGCTATCAAAATAATTTGAGACCACTCCTTACTTAATAACCATATATATCTATTTATATATTTCTGTATTTAGTTTTGTGGGCACGTAATGTTTGGTGAAATTTGCCTGACAGGAATCGAATATAACCTTCAAGCAGGCTAACTCACTAGCGGGCTGTTGAATAACTGCCGCTAGGATGACGTCATTTCCTCCAACGATTTCATAACAAATTACCCATCCTATTTTAATAGTTTTTTTAGATGTTTTTTTTATCAGTCAGGTCACAATCATCATCATCGAAATCGCACTGAAATCAATTTTTGGAATTTTTAAAATTGTTGATGAAATTAATTTATTCCATTTTGTGATACTAATAGGATACTGTACTATTAATTAACCAGCCAATCAACTGCTGATTCAAACGAATTGACCAAACAACCAATCAATCGATCAAACAACCAACGAATATATCTTGAAACTGTACCATTATTTAAAATCTACTACTAATATCATTAGAAAACCAGCACTGATATATATAATTGGCAATTACTACTTATTAGTATTAAATAAACTAATTTAAAATTAAAAATATTCGATTTCGTTATGCTTATATTAATTCTTTTACAAAATAAACCGTAAATCATTCAAAATTGATATTTCAGCAACTATTTTCCCCCTGTTCATGTGCAGTCGACTCCCCATCATGAGTACCAGAGTGTAAAACATTTACTGAACATAATGAAGGTACTTGCTACAGTAACTATCGGAAATTATTTACACTGTTTAGGTTTATTTCGTTAAAAGAACCACCCAAGCTTAACGTGATCGAATAAGAAAAAAGGAGTAGCTATAGTTCAATCCCAGTAAACCGACCTCTGGCTCAAGTGTAAGCCACTGTATTTCACATGATAAAATGCAGTTTTTATATTTAAATTTGCAAAAATATTCTTAAAATACATGATTCGATTTAATTATATTGTTTTAAACACAATAAGACAAGTAAATATATCCTACTTTACGATGGAAATCAGTGGTTAAATGCCGAAAAAATAGCAAATACTGCCCCTATTCTTAAAACGTTTAAGAATAGTTTTGGACTGGTTTTTAGAATAGGAACTAACATTCAAAATCTTGAATGTTAGTTACTAAAAAACAAGTAAATATATCATGTAGCTTGTTCGTTAGGACCCATGCAATTTCATAAGTGAGACGATAAGCCGAGCAAGTCAAATGAACGGTAATAAAAGGACACGAATAACAAATATAACACATTTTCAACAATGTTAGTTGAAATTTTATTTCACAAAACTCGCATCTTGTTACTCTTTAACCATCTTTTATTAAAATACTCCCCGGTAATCCTACCCCAGTGCTACATTCCCGAAAAATAGCATTGAATGTTTGAAGGAGTCGGTTTCGAGTTACCATTGCACCAAATAGCATCATTTAATTGAAATACTTCTTTATGTGCCGAACATTCATTTGAATCGTTACAGTCTGCAGTCACCCACCCCACCCCATCACCCTCATCACCGTCATCCTCATCATCACGTTCGGTTATCCAGTAAGTAGGTCATTATTTGACCTTTCCCCTTGACCTCGATGTTTCCACGGCAGGTCAGATTGTAGTTGTGACGTGAAAGGATGTTGTACACTTCCCCGGTCATCTGGAATGTTCGTGATGGTGATGATGATGATGATGGTAGTAGTGGTGGTGATGATGATGATCGTGATGATGTCGGTGGTGATGATGATGGTGATGATGATGATTTTGACGGTGAACGACTCATGACAGGCGAACGGTTTGAAAAAACTTTGAAAGTTTCCCAAGGTGTTGAAACTGCGTAGTGGAAAGAGGAAAACTACAGAGAGACGAGTACCCAAAAACGGCCGGCCACTCCACAGCTTTCCATACGACTTGCCACATTCACGGTATTTCCCCAGACGTCGAACTGGGGGCGACTCATCCCTATGACCCCCGCTACCACCGGGCCAAGACTCATTCATGCAGTAAGAAGTATCAAATTGTAATTAATTTATTAATTGATTTAATTAATTAATTAATTAATTAATTAATTAATTAACATCTCGTTGTCATTACGCTCGTAAAAGTATTAATTGTTGATATTATTAGATACACGGCAATCAACCAACCTATCCTCATTTGGGAGTTATTGAAGGAATGTTTGTTGAAGTCTTGCAACCTCTGCAAAATTGAGCAGGCGAATTCAGCCATAACCAACACATAATCATCATCGTCACCGTCGTTATTATTATTATTATTGTTGTTATTAATATTGTTGTTGATGTTGTTGTTATCTGAGCCTTTCGAACTTTTAACATCACCATCATCGTCATCATCATCGTCGTCGTCATCATTTCTTCTCAAATCGGAAACAGCCATATACGTTGAGCCAGTTGTTTTAATCTTCTCGATGTACTTCTGGAACCTTTTGTTCTCGATAATCAACTGATAAAGAATTCGTAATATCGAACTAATCTCAAAATCGATTACTAACAAACAAGACATTTTGAAGTATGTAACATTATAGCTTATAAGATATCATATATTACAGACACACACACGCACGCACAAACGCACTAATACACTAATTTAAACACAAACTTCATCAAAATCACAAATGATTTCATTGAGAACTCTCAGACATTCAATGCCCTCTTTGAAGTCTTCAACGTAAAATGTGTCAAAGAAATTGAAAACTGTTGCAAATAGGACACACGCCCTGCTGCAGTCCTCGCTATACAGATCCTTGGAAATGAGAATTTTTTGGAATATTATCATTCACTCATTCGTTCGTTCGTTCATTCATTCGTTCGTTCTCTTATTTTTATTCCTCCAGAAATCTCCAAATAGAGGAGTACGTACCTCAGTTAATTTCAAGTTGTTGCCGCTTCTGAAGATGTTGAAGTAGTGCCGAGCCACTCGCTTCGGTAGCATGTTGTAGAGTAACCACTTGTTGAAAGATTTTTTCCTTAACATTCCATCTTTTCTCTGTCGTGACTTTTGGTGTCATTAATTTATTCGTTCATTCACTCATTTCTTCATTCATCCATTCAATCGTTTTTTCATCCATCAATCCACAAACTTCATTCATGTAATCGTAGTGGCATCCGTTTACGAATGCATCTAGCAACACCAACATCACAATTACCGCGGCAAATATTATGACGTACGATGACGTAATATACCTCGTGATGCACCACGTGATTGTCACGTGATTATTATTATTATTGTTGTTGTTATTATGGTTACAATTGTATGAATGTAGTGATAATAAAACTGCGATTGTAACGGCGAGAATGGCTGTAGCTAAACACTAGAGATAATGATGTGAGGGTATTGAAAATGATCATGACTACCAGCGGCGAGATGATGAGCTGGAGAGAGTACATGGTATATTTGGTATATTCCGCCTGGTTAGAAAGTGATAATGATAAGGCTGATGATGATAATAATGCTAATAATAATAATAACAATAATTTTAAAAAAGGTAATTAATTTGTTTGATGACGCACTTCAAATGATTGGAAGCCATCATTTTTCGAAGAAATGCCATTCATCATTTGAAACTATAAAAATGAAAAAAATCTAAATAAAGTTAAGAAGTAAATTAAATGTTGATGGATGAATAAATGCAGTAAATTCATACATACATACATACATTTATGTACGTATAACAACTTTACACATATAAATCTTCTACATTATCATCATCATGATCACCACCACCAGCATCATCATCACTTTTATTAGTTCGGTAATCAACATGGACCCAGAAGGCGATCAGCAACCTCGAAAAACCCGTGAAAATTTTGAAAAAACATGATAAACAGGTGGAAAAGTGTGAGTCAGATTTTGGAAACTTTGAGGCCCAATATCTCGGAAACTACCGATCAGAATTGGAACGACTTTTTTTTCGGGCAAAGAAGCTTTAAGGAAGAAATTAAAAGGCGAAGAGACGTACATTTTGAGGGGTCCAGCGTTGAAATCGGTCAAGGTTCATTTTGGCCAAAACCTACCACCAATTTTTTTTTAGCTTACGGCATTTATCTCTCTTCACTGACATCTATCGAATGAATGAAAACTGTTTTTAAAGTTTGAATCAAAAAGTTCAAATTTATTATTTAATTAATTTAAATGATAGATTAAAATGTTTTCATCCTTAAAAAATAATACAATTTAATAAAATATTTAAATTTAATTTAGAATTTTAAAGATGTGAACCTGAAAGTATTTTTTTGTCAATGTAGCGCTATATTATTTATGACAAACTGTAAACAAAAAAGCCCAAAATTTGAGAAATATTTCACCATCAATTTTGTCATCTAAACTTATGAAGTGAACTTTTTTAAAATAAGATTTTTAAACAAAAAAAAATTACAAAACTAAATATTTAAATAAATTTTTCCCGAAACTTATTTTGATTTATCAATTAGTAAAATTAGGAGGTGTTGTTTTTGTTTACTTAATGAGCGTTTAATGTTGTAGCGCTTAACAAAACTTTTATTAGTCAAAGAATATCCATTTATTGACAATTAAATAGTTATTTTTTAAAACTGGTTTTATTTTTTTTAATGAAATAATTTTTTTTCTGTTAAATAAATTGTTAAAAAATTAAAAGGTTTGCTTTTGATTTTTTTAAATTTTCATTCGATAGATGACAGTATAAATAGATGAATACCACGAGATGAAAAAAAAATTGGAGCGGAAATGAACCTTGACCGATTTCGACGCTGAAAATGTTCGTCTCCTCACTTTTCATTCTTTTCATTAAAGGTTCTTTGCCAAAAAAAAAAGTCGTTCCATCTCTGACCAGTAGTTTCCGAGATATTGAGCCTTAAAGTTTCAAAATCTGACTCATTTTCTTACTCATTTTCAAGTTTTGCATTACTTTTTGACCTGATTTCAAGCCTTTTTGTGGTTTTTTGAGCCTGATAGGTTTTCAACGTCACATTTGATCAAATAACTCTAATTTCTCATCTTAATAATTTGGAAAAAAATGAAAAGTGTAGTTGTTGAAAGTCTAGACGAAATGTTGTTGTAATGTGCATTTTAAAATAAAATGAATAAAAATCTTACGTGCAGTGTATAAGCAATCGACAAAACTTCAAAACTAACCAGACAGGTAACGTGCAGTAGACTTGTGGCTAGAACCAAAATGGCAGCAAAATAATTTAAATACCTGCTGATGAGTTTTATCATTATTTGTAATCTTTGGCCAAACAAACGTTGAAATTTGAATAGTAACACCGGAAGTATTGATATAATCATTATTATTAGTCATAATGACGTCACCATCAACTTCTTCCTGTTATAATGTTACATATATCAGTTTATATATATATATAGAAAAAGGATTAAAACAGAACATAAAATACTACCACACAAACAAACATGATGTATGTATGTATGTATGTATGAGCAACCGTTAAAGAACCCACCTAAAATTAAAAAAATACCACCTACAAACATTCAAACCACCTACCAACATGCAAACTCTATATAACTCTATATAACACTATATAACTCTATATAACTCTATATAATAAAATAAACAAAAATAAAAAAATTTTAAAAATAAAATAATTGAGATCAGACAGACTGCTTCAGGCGAAGCAGAATGCTGATCTGATTTTCATGTTGTCAGCTCCTCTATTTATACTCGTTTCAACCATACATTCTCATCATTTCAATCATTCGCATCTGTAAAAAACTTGTTTAATGTATATACTGCACTATTATACAGTCTTAACCACAATGCTAACCGTACTAAATTGAAGTCATTGAACGAACGCCTTCGAAACTTTCTGGTTGGCTGGTTGAATCTGCTATATTGCTTTCCATATAAACATATAATCTAATATAATATAATTTAATTATTTGTATACATGAATTCCAGTCACTTTATATATATATAATAAAAATTCATTATAAAAACAACAATAATCAGTGCTATATATGTAAGCACGCAGTTCAAATTTTTCGGGGAGAATTCAAAATTGTTTGAGACCACACCTTGCTTAACATCCAATTCCAAGCCAAGCCAAGCTGAGCCAATATGCATAGATTTATAAGCGCCTTTATGTTAATATTTTGCTCGCTATATTTATATATTTGATAAATTCATTATAAAAAACAACAGTAGCCATTGCTATATACGTACGCACGCAGTTCAAATTTTTTGGGGAGAATTCAAAATAGTTTGAGACCACACCTTGCTTAACATCCGATTCCAAGCAGAGCCAAGCCAAGCTGAGCCAATATGCATAAATTTATAAGCGCTTTTATATTAAAATTTTGCTCGCTTTTTAAACGAATATCCCAATATAACAAATTCTCCATCCTATTTTAACTCTCTTTGATGCTTTTTAATCAGTCAGGTTACAAAAATCATTATCGATATAGCAATGAAATCAATTTGAAATTTTTTTTAATTATTGATGAAATTTTTAAATTGTTGATAAAATTAATTAATTAATTAATTAATCAGTCAATCAATCAATCAACCAACCAACCAAACATTCAATCATTCATTCGATAAGCTAATCAACCAACCAATCGACTAATCAAATAATCAATCAACTAACCAATGAATCAAACTGAATGAACCAAACGAATGAACCAAATGAAGGAACGAATTAATTAAAAACGAAATAAAAAAGTAATTACAAAGTTTTCTGAAGCGCAAACAAACATTTAATCGTACATATCTACAAACAATTTCGAGATTTGAGTAAGGAAAGAAAATCACGACAGTTGCTTTTATTTGATATCATTCAAAAATGAAAAATGACGGAAAATTAAATTTGAAAAAAATCAGATTTTCAAACAAAAAAATATTCAATAATTCTCGAAGAATAATACATGTTGATTTAGTCATTATGATATGCTGCGAACTGTATTTACTAATGTTTTAGCTGTTTGTTGAAACCCATGCAATTTCGTAAGTAAGCTAATAAGCCAATAAGCCAAATAGCACGACTCTTTTAATGTCAGCCTGGGGAATTCCAAGCTACCCGGAAGACAATTAAGTTGAATTGAAAGGTTTCGTAAAATTGTCTTTTGGTTGGTCTCTTTGTTTCGTTATTATTGACTCTAATTTCAGTTTTTAAACATCTGCTCAAAATGAAATTAGGAAGAAAAATTAAATTATTTAACCCAAAAACATTCTAATTTTTTAAAACATGAAAAATGCTTTTTTTGACAATAATATTGTTTGAAATTTGAATTTACAATTATTAAATAAATTAAATAAATAAACTTACTGTAAAATTTACAGTGTAAATTATTTACTCATTTAATTTTAATAATTTACTAATTTAGTCATTTTGTTTAGTTTGCTACTCTGTCATTCTTGTTTGATGTTGGGAGTGTTAGTTTCGTTGAAAAGACTTTGCTATTGGTAAAATTCTGTTTCTTAAAACAGATCAATACATATAATTATATATATATTATTATATTATTTATAATGCTTTATATGATTTGCCAATTTTAAGAAAAATATAACAAAAATTTATCAAATATTAACATGTATAATGCACAAATACAAAATGATAGGTGATATGAAAAATTGAACCAACTTAAATCTCTACAATAATTTTTTTACATTACAATAACATAAAGACACCAGCCAGGAGTTTTATTCCAATTTATAAAAAACTCGTATGCTAGCCAACATCTATAGTTCAATAGTTCGACTGCCGAATTAACGGAAAAATGACTGACAGGTTATCTCAGAAAGTCCCGCCCCCACTGCCTGACAAAAAAAACAAACCCATTTTGCAAAGGAAAGAACCATCAAATGATGATTTCATTACAACCGACAGACCAGCAACTACTATAAATTTATCTTCTTGCAAAATTTGCGTTACAACTACTTCTACTACAACTACAACTACTACTAGCGCTGCTACTTCTACCGCCAATACTGCTACTACCTCTACTGCTTCTGTTACTACCACTGCTGTTACTAAAACTACTGCTACTGCTGCTACTGAACAACATTTTCAGGCAAATAAGTCGGCCATTAAAACGTGCATTCCTATATCCACAACTAAAACATCTGCCTCAACGAATAGGTCTGCATTAAATAGAACAACGAGTTCAGCAGCAGTAGCAGCAGCAGCATCAAACGCCACAACAGCATCAACTTCAGATACGACAGTAACAACATCCAGCTACTCAAATATCAACCGCGCATCAATCTTTCCATCAACCAAAAAGAAGCAGGTCCCTTCGTTAATGCTACCCGACCGCAAACAAGATGACATTAAGATCGTTTATTACTCCAAACTCTCGCCTCCAACTGATGCTACGGAGATTAAAAACACCACAGATCTCAACAACAACAACAACAAACATGACAGCAACAGCAACAACATTACAAAGTACTTCTTCAAAAGCAACAATTCGCCAAAAATTGTCACCTATCCACATTTTGATAGACTGAATGACGCGATGAGGTGGTCCTACGATAAAAGAAACATCTACCAAATCCAACCAACCAGCCCGACAAAACAAGCATCTAGCAGCAACAACATCCACAACAACCACCGCAGTAGTCACCACAGCAGCCACAGAACGAGCAAAATTATCCCATCTTTAATGACAGGCAGTTACGATTGCCTAGATAAGCTTTCAAACTTTTCAGAAACCAGCAGTAACCACACTAGCGACACAAACAACATCCTCAAAAACGCCGACAAACAGCATAAAAATACATCCAGGGCCGTCAGGTTGAAATATTTCAAGAAAAATGATCTGAGAAAATCTCTAGATGACAGGACGTTATTGAGTAATTCCATTGATCATGATGACAGCGACGGAATCGTCAACTCTGGAGTCACTGCTGTTAAGGGAAGGAAATATGAATTCAAAAATAAAATTTCTTCTAACAAAGATTCAGATAACAGAAATACTGCAACCACCACTACTACTTCAACTACTATTACTGCTGCTGCTGCCACTACTACCAATACTTCTAGCTCCATGTGTACTACTTGTGGTACTGTTACTTCTGTTACTACATCAGTAAGTAATACTGCTACTACTACTACTACTTCTGTCAAAACGAACGCTACTGCTAATGCAGTGAATAGTAACGACGATTATACAAATGGTTATAATGATAGCAAGAGAGCGAATGATGATGGCGACGACGATGATGTCAAAAAAGTTTTGATTGACAAGTTCAAAAGAATCTCAGCCTTTCCGCAGTTCATCCAAACCAAACTAGAACTCGAACAACAACAACAGAAGCAGCAACAACAACAACAACAGTCAAAACATAACAACAACAACGACGACGACGAAAACAAAAACAACAACTCGTCTGACAACACGTTTCCAAAAACATCGATAAAAAACCTCACAACGTCATTGGCTACGAACATGCAGCCATCAAAAAAGAACCCCCCACCAAAGGGGGCCGTTGCCACACCTTTCGTCAACCTTTTTAACACCAACAACCCCACTAACAACAACAACAACAATAATAATAATAACAATAATAATAGTAATAATAAATTATCCAAACACCAAAGATGTGGCAGCGTCGGTAGCAGTGTAATGTTAAGTAGTCCTGAAATCCCGCTGTTCAAGAAAGGGGTGTGGTTTCGTTTATTATTGTTATTGTTATTATTGTTATTGTTATTGTTATTATTATTATAATTATTATTATTAACTGTAGTAGAAGTGGTAGTAGCAGCAGCAGCAGTAGGTAGTAGCAGTAGCTGTAGTAGTAGTAGTGGTAGTAGTAGCAGTAGCAGCAGCAGCAGTAGGTAGTAGTAGTAAAAGTAGTAGTAGTAAGATTATTGTTAGTAGCAGTAGTAGTAGAAAGGCAATTGTCGTATTCATTTCTATTTTTGTGACCTGTTCATTATTATTACTATTACTATTTAGTTTATTATTATTATTTCATTGTTATAATTTTATTATTATTATTATTATTATTTAGGGAAAGTCGCCAACATCACCAAAAGGCAAATTGCTGGTAGATACAAGCACGAACCAACAAATGCAGTCATCATCGTCATTTTCGTTGTCATCGTCACTACACACCAAATCCATCAAGTCACCTACAACTGATGACCAGTTTGGTGGGTGATGATGATGATGTAGGTGATGGTGATGATGATGATGATGTAGGTGATGATGATGATGATGATGTAGGTGGTGATGATGATGATGTAGGTGATGATGATGATGATGTAGGTGATGATGATGATGATGATGATGTAGGTGATGATGATGATGATGTAGGTGGTGATGATGATGATGTAGGTGATGATGATGATGATGATGATGTAGATGATGATGATGTAGGTGATGATGATGATGATGATGATGTAGGTGGTGATGGTGTAGGTGATGATGATGATGATGATGTAGGTGGTGATGATGATGATGTAGGTGATGATGATGATGATGGTGGTGATGTAGGTGATGGTGATGATGTTGGTGATTGAATTGATTTTTTCTATCCGTTTGTTTCATTTGTTCATTTATTCATTTACTGACCCATATATATATATATATATATATATATATATATATATATATATATATATATATATATATATATATATTTTATATATATCTATTATTCTATATATCGTTTTTTCATTCATTTATTTTGTCCATTTTCCCTCATTCGTTCGTCATTCATTTGTCCGCCCACTCATTCTTGAATTCATCCACCTATTCATTTTTTGGTTTATCCACTCATTCATTCATACGTTCTTTTACTCATTTACGTTTTATCCATCAATTCATTCATTCATTCATCATTCACTCACTCGTTCATTCCTTCACTCGTTCATTCATTCACCCATTCATCACACAAGGTTTTTCCAGTGAAGATGGTTTGTCAGACGATGGTGAACTGAACGACGACGAGGACGACTGTAATGGTGATGGACTGGAGTTCAGTAGGCCATCTCTGGACACCATGATACAATCCATTCCTATCGTTCAAACTCAACATGTAAGTTGAGTCTCTGAGTGATTGATTGATTAATTGATCGATTGGTTGGTTGGCTGGTTGGTTTGTTGGTTGGTTGGTTGATTGATTGATTGGTTGGCTGGTTGGTTGGTTGGTCGATCGATCGATAGATTGATTGATTGATTGATTGATTGATTGATTGATTGATTGATTGATTGATTGATTGATTGATTGATTGATTGATTGATTGATTGATTGGTGTGTTGGCTTCAATTTTTCTCCAGCATGCCGTAACGGAAAAGAAAGGATATCTGTACAAGTTTACAACTGGGTGAGATGATGATGACTACGATGATGATGATGACTACGACGACGATGATATACACACATACATACATATTGGATTAAGACTGTCAGAAATGCAATTATTGATGAAAATCGCCGAACAAACTGTGATTTTCATCAATACCTACATGCATACGTACATATGCACAAAGCGAACAACGCATACACCATGCACACGCACACATATACAAACTGGTTTAGTGGACACTCAACATTATTACGAAGCAGACTGGCTCGGAAAATAAATGTACATATTGCATACAAACAGATAGACAAACACACACATCCATCCACACACACCCACACTTACATACATACACATACTCACACACAGACATACACATATCCAAACACACACACACACACACACACACACACACACACACAGACAAACCTCGACCTCTCGTCTGACATCGAAACTTACGAACTGGCAGAAGAGATGGGTAACTATGGATTCCGAAGCGCTTAAGTATTATTCATCTAATAAGGTAATCGTTGACCGATAGACCGACCTATAGACCGATAGACCGACCTATATTCAGTATAGACTCATAGGTTTATTTAATTTATTGTTTTAAAATTGTCTTAGTTTTGAGAAGGCACAGGGACGTTTCGTCTTCGCCTTTGTTTAACGTAATAATAATATAGACCGATAGACCGACCGATAGACAAAACAGCCGACCGATTGGCTACTTGATTATATCTATTGGAGTTGTAATCTGATTGAATAACAGATTGAATGAGTGAGTGAGTGAATGAATTAATTAATAGCATATTGATTGAACGACTGATTGAATAAGTGAGCGAGTGAATGAATTAGTAACATGATGATTGAACGACTGATTGACCAACTGACCGGTTGATCAAGAAATAAAGTCAATAGTTACACATTTAATGACGAGAATGATGGTAATAAATATGACAATGAGTGTGATGAGAACGAGAAAGTATGAAAATGATGAAGATGATGACGACAAGAAAGCACTGAATGAATGGATGGATGGTTCATTTCATTTCAGAGTCCCATATCGAAGCGTGTGGTGCCTGTGTGCACGATGCTGAATGTAAAGCAGGATATTAAGGTTGTCTTGTTTGTGTATATTATTTGTATATGTTTGTATGTTGTTTGTTTGTGTATGTTTTTTATATGTTTGTTTGTTATTTGTTTGTTTGTATGTACGTGTTTGTATGTTGTATGTTATTTGTTTGCTTGTTTGTATGTTTTATGTTATTTGTTTGCTTGTTTGTATATGTTTGTATGATTTATGTTATTTGTCTGTTTGTATACGTTTGTATATGTTTTTATGTTACGTGTCGCTTAAAATGACGTTGATTGACAGCTTGTTGGAGTGAGTGGGCGAATAAATGATTGAACTTGAGTTTGTAACTTATTGTACGATTGAATGACCGGCTGACCTACTGACTGAGTTAAAATAGGTCAAGTTGTTTTGTCGTCTGTTTAATTGTTTGACTGTTTAATTGTTCGTTTGTCTGTATAAATGTTTGTTGTTTGTTTGTCTGTTTAATTGTTTGTTTGTCTGTTTAATTGTTTGTCTGTCTGTTGTTGTTACATGTTATTTGGTTGTTTTTATGTATGTATTTATGTATGTATGTATGTATGTATGTATGTATGTATGTATGTATGTATGTATGTATGTATGTATGTATGTATGTATGTATGTATGTATGTATGTATGTATGTATGTATGTAATAAAGAAATAATGATAGATTTATTATTTTTATTTTTTTTATTATTGGTCACAATGCATAGACATCCGATGTGCATCCCTTCTGTTTCAAACTCTTCACCAGTCACAAAAAAGTCTTCCATTTCGCAGCCGACACTTCGGGTAGTGATGATGATGCTGTGATGATGATGATGGAGAAGATGATGATGAAGATGATGATGATGATATTTTTGCAATGATGATGATGAAGATGATGATGATGAAGATGATGATATTTTTGCAATGATGATGATGAAGATGATGATGATATTTTTGCGATGATGATGATGATGATGATGTTCTTGCAATGATGATGATGATGAAGATGAAGATGATGATGATGACAATGGTGATGACGTCATCAGATGACCTGTCATGGTGGACTAGCATGATAATGAAAGCCATCATCGATCACTCGCTTAATGTGGTTAGTGTTGTTAATTGAGTGAATGAATGAATGAACTAATGAATGAACGAATGAATGAACGAATGAACGAACGAATGAATGAATCAACGAAATAATTTTTTCATCAGACTAGCGTGATGGAGGAAGGAGGGAAATTCGCCATGGCTGACATAAAGGTTGGTTCATTTCTTCAATCGTTCGTTTTTCCTTTCTTTCATTCATTTTTTGATTGATTGATTGATTCATTGATTGATTGATTCATTCATTCATTGATTCATTCTTTCATGACTTCAAATTTTTCTTACTTCTTCTTCTTATTATAATTATTCGTTTATTCTTCTTTTACAACAACAAGCCTTATCATTATCACACACGCACAAGACAAACGTACACACACACACGCACACACGCGCACACACTACAGGGCTTTACAAAAATAGAGGGTAAGGGCAGGCGATTCGCGGCCTGCAAGAATGGCAAGTTGGCCCTCTATAACAACAAACATGTTGGTTACTATGGTTACGTAACGTGCTGAAATTAAACGTTTGATTGATTGAATGGATGGATTGATTGATGAATGAATGAATGATTGATGAATGAATGAATGATTGATTGAAGTAATTGATCATTTATTTATTCAAATAATTAAGGAATGTTTTGATGTTTGAATGGATGAGTAAATGAACGAACGAAGGAGGTTACACTAATTTATTCGTAACTATTTATAAATACCAGGAGTTCAGCATCTACAGTCCCATTCACATAATCGACCTTCAACTTTGCAACGTCAGGTCACATGGCAAGCACAGGCTACAGCTGACCTTACCTCAAAACGCATTCATGTAATCTAATTTTCTAATTATTATTATTTATTATTACTACTACTGCTGCTGCTGCTACTACTATTACGACTACTACTCTACTACTACTGCAACTACTACTAATAATACTATTACTACTACTACGACAACTACTACTACCACTACTACTACTGCTGCAGCTACTACTATCACTACTACTATCGCTACTACTACTATTACTGCTGCAGCTACTACTACTGCTGATACTTTTTTCTACTGATTTTTTTAAAAATGTTATTGTTGATTATATTGTGGTTACGTAGTGAGTGATAAAATTATTATTATTATTATCATTATTATTATTATTATCATTATTATCATTATCATCATCATTATTATTATTATTACTATTTTATATGTTTTATAATCATTACTATTGCTAACAGTTATTAATTAGTAGCATATGGTACGTTTTTTCCATTCCATAGATTCCAATTCGATACGACTGACGAAACCAACGACTGGAAGACAGCCATCGAGAATGGGATATCCATGTCTCTGGGAGATGATGAGGTGAGAGAGAGTGAGAGAGAGAGAGATAGAGAGAGAGGAAATTTGAAATTATTTTTTAATTTAATTTCATTTTGTATTTTTTTAAAAATTCCATTTAGAAATGTGTTTTTATACGTCAGGTAATAAAGAAGGTGTACGAGAACCAGAGTAACCGCAGCTGCGTCGACTGCAAGTGCCGAGGTTGGCTGTTGGATTGATTGGTTGGATGTTTGATTGATTGATTGATTGGATGGTTGATTGGTTGGTTGAAGGGTTGATTGATTGGTTGATTGGTTGGATGGTTGATTGATTGATCGATTGGATGGTTGATTGGTTGGTTGGTTGAAGGGTTGATTGATTGGTTGATTGGTTGGATGGTTGATTGATTGATCGATTGGATAGTTGATTGGTTGGTTGGTTGTTGGATTGATTGGTTGATTGATTGGTTGGATGGTTGATTGATTGAATGGTTAATTGGTTGGCTGATTTGTTGGATGGCTGTTGGATTGATTGGTTGATTGATTGATTGGTTAGTTGATCGATTGGTTTGTCGGTTAACTGATTAACTAATTAATTGATCTGTTCACCGATGATTTGGCTTGTTTATAAATTATTTGGTTAATTAATGTAATTTGAATGTTGTAGTATATGTAGATGAATTGCACTTAGCCCATGAATATATCAACAAATTAATTTTACGAAACTAACACGCAGGCATAATTTCATTCACAAACACACGCACACGCATTCACACACGCACATACACACACGCACATATACACACACACATTCACACAGGTCCTGAATGGGCAGCTATAAACTTGGGAATCACATTGTGCCAGCAATGTGCCGGTCAATAATTTTTTTTTATCATTTGTTGTCAACATCACCGAAATCATTATTTATTCATTTATCATCATTATCATCATCATCATCACTGTATCATTATCATTATCATCACAAGCATCATCATCGTCATCATCATCACGAAATTCTTATTATCATCGTCGTCGTCGTCACAATCACCATTATTATAAACTCGACATATCTGATTGGCATTATCATTAATCGTCGTTATTACTTATCAGCATCATCATCATAATTATCATCGTTGTCATCATTATCATCATCATCATCGTCAGGTGTCCATCGGAAGATGGTCAATGCCAAAGTTAGATCAATGAGGATGGATTCCAAAGTCTGGTCCGAACATCTTATCAAAGTAATCATCGCCTCTTCTTCATCGTCTTCATCATCATCATTATTATCGTCATCTTCTACTTCTTCAGATTATCATCAACATCATTACCATCACCATCATCGTCATTGTCACCATCATAAGATTATCATCAAAATCACCATCGTCATTTTCTTCAGATTATCATCAACATCATTACCATCATCATCATCGTCATCATCATCGTCAACATCATCAGATCATGATCGAAGTAGGCAACAGAAACTTCAACAGCATCTGGGAGCACAAACTCCACAAGAAACACCACAATGTCAACCTCATCAAGAAAGACTACGACGACGACGACGATTATGGACAAAAAGATGATGATGATGATGATGATGAGGGTCATGATGATAATGAGGATGAAAGGATTAACTCGGACACGGACACGTCAGAATAGTTTTTTTAATGTTGATATTACCAATCAATGCCATTAACTGAAGGGTGCTTATTGAAGATTATTAGTGTGGACGAATTTTTTAATCGAATGAATGGATGAATGATTGGATGAATAAGCGAAGAAGAATTTAATTAATTAATTAAATAAATGAATTAATGAATGAAGAAAGAATGAATGAATGAATGAATGAATGAATGAATGAACGAATGAACGAATGAATGGATGAATGGAGTTGATGAAAAGCGTTTGGAAATTAAATTAATGAATAGCTATAAAATTAATGAATAGTTGAGTTGACAAATAAATGATAGACTGACTGAATGTTTGATAGATTTGACTTAATAAACGAACGAACGAATGAATGAATGAATGAAAGAGTGAATGAATGAACGTTTGATTGACACACAGAGCCAAAAGAATCAACTTTATCCAAAAGAAATATATAGAACGGGCTTTCTTCAAGACTCTCGATGTACCTGATACTAAAAAATTGAATACGGTTTGAGTATTTGTTGGAATGAATGAATGATTGATTGAATGAATGATCAAATGCATGAAAGGATGAATGAATGATTGATTTATTAAGTGAATGAATGAACGAATGATTAATCGAATGAATGAATGAATGAATCATCGTTAGCTTTTGGAGTCCAACTTGAAAACGGACGACGTCTTGAAGACATTGCACCTCATATATTCAGGAGCCAATGTCAGGAGGCTTTCACGTTATTCATTCTATCATCTATTTTATCATCGTTGTTATTATCATTATTATGATTATTATTATTATTATTATCTTTATTATTATTATTATCATCACCATTATTATTATTATTATTTTTATTATTGTTCTTATTATTTTTATTCTTATTATTTTTTCACAGTCCCATGAAACGTACGACCGAATTGAGAATGATCATCGTTAGTTCTATTTATAATTTTATTTCGCGGTAATGTTTTTCGTCAGTCGCCCATTCAAAAGAATTTAATTAAAATCATTATAACCAATCAATCAATCAATCATTCAATCATTTCAATCAATCAATCATTTTAATCAATCACTTATTTCAATCAATCAATCATTTAGATCAATCACCCATTCAATCTATCATCTTAATCAATCAATTATTTAGATTATTCAGTCACTCATTTCAATCAATCACTCATTTCAATCAATCATTTATTTCAATTAATCATTCATTTCAATCAATCAATCATTTCAATCAATCATTCATTTCAATCATTTGTTTCAATCAATCAATCATGCAATTTACTTCTCCCTGAACAGTGACTGATAGCGTACATGCGTTGCAGATGGAACTTTTGAAACTGAACATGAACAAGGATAGGAAGTCATTCAGTTCCATCTGAATGAATGAACGAACGAAAGAATGAATAAATGAACGAATGAATGAACGAATATATAATCAAATGAATGAATGAATGAATGAATAATTGAATGTAATGACGAGTTAATGAACAGATGAATAAATGAAACTGTAATCTATTGATTAATCGCCCTATGTTTTTGGTCCAAACTCGTGTTACGTAAATCTATCTAATCTTTAATTCAGATATTCATTAATGCATTTATTCATTCACTTACTCATTCAATCGTTCATTCATTCAATTATTCATTCGTTTTTTCGTTCATTCGTTCCTTCATTTAATCACAAATTTGAATCTTGTTGTATTTATTATACCATTATACAATGAAAGGGAAATGCATCACGATACTATAACACCTTGATACCTTTGTATTCGTCCGGTTTTTTTATCGGTACTAATCGCTATGTATCGGAATTTTTTTGGTTATACATACTCATATATATTCAAATGTTTGTATTTTGTTTATTGTTTTGATTTATTCATCGAATGAATTTCTCAAATTATTTTTATTTATTTTATTAAAAAATGAATTAGTGGTCGTTATTATGTAATGTTTTGGAAAATATATGCAAGTGCACACCACACGCACGCACACACACACACAAAAATTAATATATATTTATTTATTTGTGTGTGTGTGTTAAAGATATTAATAATTATATTTATTTGTTTGTTATATTTAGCAACATTAGTTGATATGATGCTTAATTGTGACGATTGAATTTTATCTTTACATTTTAAAGATTTATGTATTTTTGTGTACGTGTATGTCTGTTTATATGTATGTTTGTACAATGTTATTTGTTTAAAACTTTGAACCATCAAATTTTTGGACGCCAAACCAATGATAATGTCGATTAATGTTAGCGAAAAATTTATTTTTGGCTATCAAAGTTAAAACATCTTAATTTGAACAAGAGATTGGATATTATCTCGATAAAGAATTGTTGGATAAGCATGAATCGCTTACTATATTTCCAGTGGCTTGTTCTTCATTCTAAAAATAAAACTTTTGCCAAAATTGTGGTTTTTTTGGTAATCGGTTTCGGCCGAATATTAGATCGACTATTCGACTAAGTTCACCATTCGGCGCATCTCTAGTATACAAATGTATGTTTGTGTCTTGCATGTTTGTTTGTATGTGTTTGTATCTTGTATGTACATTTAACTGGTTGAACGTCTGTATGTTCTGTATGTTTGTATATGTTCATTTAGGCATATTTAATTCATCTCAGTTTGTTACAATGCATTCTTTTTTCATTCCTTAACATTAGAAATTTGTTTCGCTAAATTTTTTTTTACAGAATTCGATGGTTATTGAAATAATTACTTCAACTCAGCTACTCCGAAATATTCAATAATTTCGATTACTCACTTCTACTTATAAATTAACTCAATTTAGTTGGCTACTTTGTTGGTGTGTTAGCGACAACTGCCATCTGTAATCCAACTCCACAATTTTTTCAATTTGGAAATGACGATGTTCAATGAAAAAAAATTAAAATAAAAAATTCGGGTTCTTATTGTGGTCATTTAATTATAATATGTTAATATTTTTCAATCAATCAAGCAATTATCCAATCGATCAAACGTGATTGGTTAATTAATCAATCACTCAGCTTGCCAATCAATCGCTACAATATTTATACTTTGTCTTATCTCAAAACAAATTTATAAATTCAATCAAACTGTCGATCTATCAATCAATCTATCCATCAATCATTCAACCTAATAGGATCCTGATCCATCAATCAATCAATCAATCAATTATTCAATTCAATAGGATCATGATCAATCAACCAAAAGTGCGATTTTGCGAAAAAAATCTCACACACACACATCATCCCATTTTCAACTCAGGCAACTACGTAACTAAATACCGCAATCACCTCTGCGTATTAATACAGCAAATTTCTGTACACGTGTGTCTTTGCAAGTACACAAAAATGCCGCAACAACAAAAATGCATCAACAACAAAAACCTCACAACAACAAAAACCTCACAACAACAAATACCTCACAACAACAAAAATACACCGACTACAAAAATACACCAACAAAATATTTCATCATTCAGTGGTGTGCCATATTCTGACCGGGCCGAGTTAAATTATGATGTGATTTAGGCGTGTTTACAGCGTGATCATGTGCTAAATATATATTTCTTCGTATTTGTAGTGCATATATGCACATGTCTTCTTTACTTTAAAAATAAACTCGCTTCTTTCGCCCTGTTAAGGTTAACGAATATGGTAATAATAGTAGTTAATACTAATAATAATATAAATAATAATAACAACAACAATAATAACTCTGTTACTAGTATCACTACTACTAGTACTACTACTACTACTACACACACACACACAGTATGTGATAGGTGGGAGTCTCTTTGCTTTCAAACCCAGTCATAGCAACAGGACGACCAGGCGCCTTACCTAATTCGCCATCTCTTCTCTCAGTATTAAAAAGGCACACTTATATTATATCATATTAAATTAAAATTATTAGCCTAAGATAAATTATCACTAATCTTAAATTATTTGAAAATGTTATTAATATTCCAATATAATTCATATATTAAAAAAAATTATTCACCTTCTTGTTATTGTTATTATTTCTGTTAAAAGGACAAGCACAAGTCACTTGAAACGATGTTGCTAAAAATAACCCCCTATCTAGGTCTCTACTCTGATTGGCTGGCTATATAAATGCATACATATACATATAAATAATATACCATACAAAGTATGACCGATACCTATGTGAACTTATGTATTTGCAGTATAACACTCAAACAGTTCTGTATATGTATATATGAAATTGGTAAAGATCTCATTGTTTGTTTATCCTTTCATTTGAAATTTTTCTCTCAATGTCAAGTGACGAGAGTAAGTGTGCGTGGCTCGTGACTTTTAGATACCCTACACGAGGCAGAGCTGCAAGAGGAAAAAGGGTGAAATTAATTATCTCGTAGCAATTTTTTTTAACTTTAAACTTTTGAAATTTCTTTTTTATCATCATGTTGTTATGATTGGTCATTTCAGCAGGAGTGAATAACCACAGAATTGCCTGCCTGTATGAATGTCTCATCCATCCAGACAATGTAACTTGTGTCGCCTGTAACATTACAAAACTTACATCGTCTCAGGGTGTCTATTATATCTTCTCAGCGATTGAATTGCTCGCACGGTAGTTGGCCACATGAGGGTGAGTAGATAAAGATAAACGATATGATACTAAATAAATAAGAACGACTTTTTAAAATGCATGCGTAAATCGTTATCGTATTAGTCAATTAATTAATTATTTAATCAATCAATTTAAAAATTATTTAAATTGAAGTTGTCAGCATGACAACGATGGCAAACAAGTCAATTCGCATCATAATTACTTGTCTTATCAGCCAACCTAACACAACCTACACAGCTATTTATAACGAAATAGCAGTCAAGAGCCTTCTTAACGGGGCTAAGTTCAACTGCGTTAGTTTGCAGAAAAATAAATGATTACTATAAATAATTATAATTGTTTATCCACTGTCAAATGTTAGAGTAAGTTTCGTTTTTTGAATTTGGGAAAGGAAAAATCTGTCCTTGTTGGATTGTTCGTTATGTTTTAAACCTTTTTTTTATAGGCATCTGCAAAGCAAAAACTGTAAACCCTTGCAGTAATTTATTACTAATAGGATTGTTTACAATAGCTGGCATTAGTATCGAAGTTATTAAAACATTTTACATGTAAAGGTTCCAGTGTAAGTTTTACGATGTTACATGTATATTTTGTAATGTTACAGGCGACACAAGTTACGTTGTCTGGGTGGATGAGACATTCATACAGGCAGGCAATTCTGTGGTTATTCGCTTTAGCTGAAACAGAAAGTAAACGAAACCGGCATTTTTTACTCGTGCCTACGTAAGCATTAATTATAGATACATGCGAACGTGGTGTTAGTGTTTATTACACAGTGAATCTATGTAATATGTTGAAATGTACAGACACACACACACGCACGCACACACACACACACACACACACACACACACACACACATATATATATATATATATATATATATATATATATATATATATACATTCCCTGTAAATACTGACTTTCTCTTACTGAAAGAGGCTGTACGTGAGTGGTGCATGTGTGTGAGGGGCAATTATGATAAAAAAACACCAAATGTCTAAAGTTATTATTATTATCGCTGTTGTTTATTTGGCAATACTAAACTAAAATTAATAAGCATAGAGACTGAATAATAATGAAGAAGTATAACTATTTTAGCGATTTAAAGAAGTAAATTGCACATGACTTGACGTTGAACATTTTAAAGAAGGATATCTCAAAACTTGAGTAAACACTCAAGATATGAATTATCTTTCTGGAAAGACCAACTTCATGTCGCAAAAGAACGTTATTCAGAGTTTTTCATATTCAGATTCACGCTCTCATTAGCCATGTAATGCGCGCCAGACTAGGCACATGCACCATTGCAACATAGAATTACGTCGTTGACGCAGTTGGTTAGCGGTTTTAACGCATATCGAGTGTTTTCTGTTAATATGTTTCATATAATATTAACAAATTGAAATAACACGGAATATATTAAAAATAGCAACAAAATTAATCACTTGTTTAAATTACTGAGTAGCTTATGCAAGAGCAACGCCCCGGTTTATCTTCGTCGTTGTCTCAGGCAAATTTCCATTCACTTATCACGAACTACAATCACTGTATGTTCACGTGTTATGTTCAATCTCATTGGCCAGAACGTCGACCTAGTTAGTCACGTAAACTTATAAATAGAATTGTACTGAATTCCCATTGGTAGAAATGACGACCTACTTTTAGATGATTGGTCAAACTTGACGCACCCACGCAGAGAGCACGTGCCAAAGTAGAAAAATTCACGCCGATCGTGAGTTGTGTAAATATTACACCTTCGACTTTTTCAACAAAATTAATCACAAATTTCAATAAACCTTTCTAATCATTCATCTTATACATCACCTCATCATGCATTATAAAAATATATAATCCCCATTAAATGCGAGATGCACGTACACATGCATGTATCAACCGTCGTGTAAACAGATCCCATATATTCTCTATACTTATGCATCAATATGGAGTGTGCGTTGCATACATATATGACGTAATATGTATGTTATGCTTTGTCTATTGTTCGCCATATGAATTTATATTTATATATGTATGAATGTGTCGGCTTATATACATTGTTCATTTATTTAGAAAAGTTGAGTAAATAAATTAATGGTTCATTACACGTCATGATTTCTTTGAAATATTCACATAACATTTAATGAACAGTTTGCGAGTTCTTTAATATTAAAAGCTAGAAATTTTTAGAAGAGGTAAAATAGAAATACTAAATTTATTTGATTAAGTTCAACTGTGAAGGTATGTATAGTTGGCACTTAATTCAAAATTTAAATGTCTGATCATCTGTAATAGCAAATAATTAAAATAAGCTTTACAATAAGAGAGATTGATTAAGTTTTGTTGCTTGTTTGTATACATTTTATTAATTCGAAAAAAAAAATTCATTTGGTCGCATTCATTTATCTATTTATTCGTTATTATTATTTATTTTTTGTTTGTTTGTTGTATTTTTTTATTATATTCATGTGTCTGCCTAATTGCAGTTACAACATCCTCCGTGATGATGAAAAAACTGTTGATACGAAGACCAATGTCAGACTTCTACACTGATTATGAGGTAAAAACTCAGCAACATTTTTAGTTACCCATTATATTATAATTACTCACAATCTTCTGATACCACTCTCACACACACACGCCACACATACAGGTACAATTTCATACGTCATCATTCATTCATTAATAATTTTTTAATTTATTGATAATTCATTCTATGTTTTGCACCTTTCAGATTGACAAAAAAGTAAAATGTCATCAGAACGTAGCCCTGGAGAGCAAAATTAACCTCGCTGATGGTTATTGCAGCAGTGAGAACATTTACCGCAACAAAAAACATGACGTCATGCACCACCATCAACACCGAGAGGATTGCAAATCTTGTCACGAATGCATCGCCGTTCAGACTTTGTTATCAATCGGTCAGCATCAATTTCAGCAACTGACGTCCACTCCTCTTCCGCTTTCATCCTCCCAACAACCTCTACCAGATTTTCCACGGAAACTAATATTTTCAACAAAGGTACAACAATATCCGCAATCTAATACTGCTATATCGTCACAAAACAATCAAGCAATCCAGCTTCAAAAGCCGACGTCAATGTTGCTTATGCACTTGCAACAGCCGACAGTTTTTGAAAATGTTGTCACTCCACCAAACAGCAGCAAAAGTAACGTAAATTCAACCTCAACGATTGAAATATCTGCCGTGTCGAAATGCAGCCGTGAAACAAAAACTGCAAGCAAAATGACGAACGACAACATTTTACAAACACCAACAGCGTCCAGTAGCAATAGCCTCAAATCTTTCAGTTGCTCAACTTTGATGACGCCCCCGCCATCTGATGGCCATTTGTCTGAGGATGAAGATCCACTTTTAAATCCTTTCACTCCCGCCACTACGTTTGCCGCATCTACCCTTTCGACCACTAACATCACAGCTGCAACGTCAGCCATTTTTACAAATATTTATGACGTCAAAAATATTACGCATTGCTCTAACATCATCACGTCTATAGTTTCCTACTCCATGACTCCAAACATTACGACGGTCTCAAACAAACAAGCGAACAATTTCTGCACGAAGACAACACACATCAATGTTTCACCAATCACATTTGCCGCACCTATTAATAACGCCAAAACAACCGCCACTAATACTAAAAACTGCAGTAACAGAAGTAGCCACAACAGCAGCCTGGCATGTGATAGCAAGCCAAAGAGAGTTAAATCGAAGCTAGAAGAGGTATGTATGCGTCACAGTTTATAAAGTTGTGAAATTATTTTTTTTATTAAACATGAAATCTTGTCAATAAAACGAAACATTAAATAAATGTATGAAATTTAAGCAATTTTAAATATTTTCAAGCTGCTCACATCCGACTTGCCGCTTAAGATCGACTACTACTGCAACAACAAAAACAACAACAAAAATACTACCAATAACAAAACTAGTAACAACAACAAACAAAATAATAGTTACAGCAGTAGTAGCAGCAGCAGCAGCAGTAATAGAAACATCAACGAGAAAGTGAGAGAATCTTTGAAGAGAAAATGTTCTCATAACAATTTATTGCGCGAAAATAAGAAGAAGTGCACACACCACAACAAAAACAACAGCGACAACAACAACAATAATAATAATAACGATAATAATGATAATGGCGTGAACAACAATTTGAATGAAAATATGCCTGTTCAGTCCGTAAAAATGATGCTTACTTGTGACACGGTGAAAAACACGGCAGACTCCATGCCATCTTTTGATGCCAGCTCTGTTACAAACAATCCTGTAGTTGAGACTTCTAGCTTCTGTAGTTCGATAAACAACTTTGTAACTAGTAAAAACAGCTATACTAGTCCAAATAAAATAAACGAAATCAACGATGGTGTCTCTACAAACAGTTTAGTTGCCTTCTATCAACCCATAGCCGCCGCAAGTTTGCAGCCAACATTGCAACCACAATCAACAGAGCAGCCGCAGCAAGAACATTTGATTGATGAAAATAATTTTGTCATCGATTACAGCGTTAGAAATGACGACGCGAACGCCTTAACAGCAACTACAGCCACAACAACGATGACGTCATTCGTGCCGACTCTCACATCCTGTACCAGCAACAATTTGAGTCCTGTAACTACAAATTTTTCCGGCAACAATAGCTCAACTACAACTATTCAGGTTTTTGTTTTAAATAACTGTTTGCCATTTTTAAACAACAATGAAAAGTCGGCGTCGAACAACGACAAAAATAACTTTTCAACGATTTCAATTTGCGGCTCTGACAGCAACGACAATGTCCTCAACGCCAGCACATTGATACAAATTCTTCAACAGCAGCAGCAGCAACAACAACAGCAGCTACAACAGCCTCTGCAATTTGCTTTCATCAAAAACTCAGAAGACGACAACATAAAAGGCGTCAATAACTTCGACAACAGCAGCCAGCCACTCATTTTAACGCAGCAGATGATGCAGCAACTGTCAAATACATTTTCAACATCAGTAACCCACCAAACTACCACAACAACTAACCAGATAACAAAACCTAAACCTCGTTACCAAGAATTAAAAATTAAACCGACGCCAGCAAATTTCACTCCCCACCTTCAAATCAGCCCTCCAGCACCATCGAACACTAAGAAAGCGTACAAATGCGACTACCCGAACTGCCAGAAGACCTACTACAAGAGCTCCCACCTAAAGGTGCACCAGCGAATTCACACGGGGGAAAGGCCGTTCATCTGCAAGTGGGAGCGATGCGACAAGCGATTCGCCAGGTCGGACGAACTCTCACGACACTTCCGCACGCACACAGGCGAAAAAAAGTATCGCTGCTCCGTCTGTCAGCGCAATTTCATGCGCAGCGACCACCTAACGAAACACATGAAGCGACACAACGGCTGCAACATTGTAAGCTGCAATGCCAGTACTGTCACGATCGCCGCTCCAACTGCTTCAACATGCGTTAACAATAATAATTTTATTGTGAATAATAACAAATTTTTTGTGAGCAGTCCTTACGTAGTCAAGAAAGACAATTTCGTCATCAGTCCGAGCCTCGGAAGCGATGGAACGCTTTCTCGAAGTGACAGCACGAGCAGTAGTAGTAGTAGTAGCAGCAGCAGCCTGGGAGATTACAGCAGCGATGGTGTCTGCAGCGATGGCAGTAGTCCTGTCATTGCCAGGCTCCCGATATTTTTCAACTGACCTTTGAGATTTGGGTGACGACAACTTGTAGTACAACTTTTTCAGTTTTTGATTTCAGTTCCCTTCAGTTCGGAATTTTTTTTTCAAATTTAGTTGGTTTATAATGAACGAAACTATAACGTTAAACTGTTCTGTTGCTACGGTTACATGATTAATTGTTTGATTTGTAACTTTGAAAACGAATTTAATATAAATTATATATTTTATTTCAATTAAATTTTCATAAAATTTAAATTAATTGTTACGTAACTTTGCAGGCTCTCTTTCTTTCTTATGTAAATACGTATTTCATTTATTTCAAACCATTTGTTTTCTACTTGTAAATATCTTCGGCAAATAGAAATCACGACAAATTTACTTCTTGAGTACATTTTACTGGTCACCTTGCCCTATAAAGGGCTGAAACTAGAGAAATGAACTATACTCCTAATTTTAAAGCTTATGAAATAAATTTTCTACATATATTGAGATAAACAAATAGAATAACTATTTTTAATAATTAAATTTAATAAACGATTTTTATAGGCGCGAATGTTAGAGTAATGTTTGTTGTCTTTTGAAATGACGTAAGGAGTATAAACAAAACAAACAAGAAAATAAATAAACCAAAACAAAATAGATAAATCAAAACAAAGTAAAAAAATAAATAAATAAAAATCGTAAATTAAATAAAATGTAACTTTTCATGTTCAAACCATCATATATAGTAACATCAAATCTGTAACAAATTTACTTTAAGTTGAAACAATTTACCAGAATGTGTGAATATTAATGATAAATAACCTCAAATCGATTAACAACGTTTGATTAGAAACTACTTTTTAAAAAAAATGAATAACTCGAGATTGACGATTATTTCCACCAATCTGAATACAAAAGTTGTCTTCCAGCACCTTACACCGGCTTAATCCGTTTGGTCCCATTAAGGTAGATACAGGTTTGGCTAACTGTGTAACACGAATTATTTATTACATATAAAATGTATTTTTCTAATTGTGTAGTATCAATTGAATAAGAAATTTGTTCGACCAGCTGATCTATTGGGCGGCATGATGGCCTAGTGGTCAAGGCCGCCTGGTGTTGTTTCTCTAAGCGTTCTCTAAGATCTCCATCCATCACATGCTTTGTGTGTGATACGGTCTTCTAGCGTGTATTCATATATGCTGTTTTTGTGTTGTTGATTGCTCTAAATCTAGAAAGAGTGTGATAGAATTTGAACATTTTTAATTAATACAAAAATTTGTTTCTCTTTCTATCTGATGATTCTTTTTTTTTTTTTGTAGAAAATGAACAAGATTAAGAACTTTTTCAGGAGGAACAAATATCCCAAGAGGTTCACGATGAAAGAGGTAGATGGTTGGTTGGTTAATTATTATTTTCTCACTTTATTCATTTTGTTAACTCATTTTTTGGTTAAATTAAAATATATTTATGCAGCAGAAATGGCAAAATATTTTTTATCGAAACTACAAACTTTAATTCCTTTGTGGTATGTACTAGCTCACAACACTAACCCTTGCGTAAATGAACATTCACTTGATCCTGTCCATGTACACACACACACACGCGCACGCACGCACACACACACATACACACACACACACACGCATCAAACAAATACAAAAACACGCGCAAAACACACATGCACGCAAAATCACTTACATACATAAATATACAAAACACACCCATCGCAGATCTGAAAGCTGTTTTCGAGTTGATGGATACGGATCGAAATGGATGTTTGTCCATTCCAGAACTGGAGAAGGCCACCCATGTAACTGGACACAGGTGGGACCAGGAACTATGGCAGATTAAACTGGAGATGTCCGGATTTAGCAGTTTAGTAACAAGAGGTTTTAATCGTAATTATTATAAAAGTTGAATGGTAGGAAAAAGAGAAAGTGAAAGATTAAAATTTAAATGAGATCTGGAAAAAGTAAGAAAATGAGAAAACAAGAAGAGAGAGAGAAAAAGCGAGAGAAAGCTAGTGAAAATGAGTTAAAGGAAGAAATCAGTTAAGTTTCATCACTTCACTGTCTTCACTGATCAATAATATAACAAAACAAAGATTTTTATAGTGATCTAAGAAGACTGATCCTGTGACAAGACCACTCTGAAACTTTTTTTAACATCCTACTTTTGCCAAGTTTGCTTTAAAGTTAACAAGTTGACAACTCTGCACCTGAAAAATTTTTGCTTTATTGATTCCGAGCATTTTTTTAAAGGTCTTAAGCTAACAAAATTTCGCTTATTCCAAATTCTTCTTTGTAGTGATGATTTTGTATGCCTGAATCAAATCTTCTCTTGTTCTTTTTGTTTCTAATGTTGTCAATACACAAATGTCAATTTGTTTTCATATGGCATACTGCGACAAACCTTTATCATACTCGTTGCTCTCCCTTGAATATTCTTGAGCACATGTTTGTCTTTTTGAAAATCTTGATTCCAAAGCTGAACACAGTACTCCAACTTAGGCCGAGCCAATGCTTTATATAGGTTTAATATAACGATCATATATCTGCTTTTCACTGTTTTTTTTTATCACACCCAGAATGATGTTTGCACTTTAAGCTGCCTCGGTGTTTTGCCGCGCTACCTTAGAGTTTCGATGAATGATCACTCCTAGATCTTTTTCCCTTTACATTTTTCAGTGGTGTGTCTCCAAGTTTGAATACTCTTGCCTTGTTGTTCGCTCCCATGTGTACGACTGCACATTTGTTAGTGTTGAATACCATCTGTCAATCCTCTGCCCATTTGCATATTTTTTGCAGATCGCCTGCTAAAGTTTCAATATCTTTATCGTTGTCTGCAACGAGAAGAAGTCAGTCTCTCGTGTGCACGTGCTTCAGATGTTTCAACGATAAACACACACAGCGTATATGAACACGCGTGAGAACCAGGCATCAAACACACATTGCATATGATAGGCGAGGATAGCTCTGTCACTGAAATGGCTGGGCCAGGCGCTTTTAACCATTACGCTACCACGCCATCATATATGCAGAAATAACAGCAATAATATAACTCTATTACAACAACAACATTTACATAACAACATCATTACAACAACATTTACATCACAACATTATTACAACATCAACATTTACATTACAATATTATTACAACAATAACAACAAAACAGCATTATTACAACAATAGTAACAACATTACAACGTCAGCATCACAAAAATGACAGCAACGTTAAATTTTCGATAGAGGACCTGTTATGCGTGGATTTCAACACTTTTCTCAAAGTCCTAGACACCAGCATACAACTGAATGAAGACATCAATCGGGATAGCTTGAGGATTGCCTCCCTGAGATCTATATTTAACGTATTTTTCTGATGGTGGGGGTGGTGAATTGGGTTTGTTTGATTGGTTGGTTGGCTGGCTGGTTGGTTGGATGAATGGTTGGTTGGTTGATTGGTTGGATTAATGTTGGTTGGTTGGATGGTTTGTTGGATGGTTGGTTAGTTGGTTGGATGGATATTTGGTTGGCCGATTGGTTGGCTGGTAGGTTGATTGAACCATCTAACCATTTAACCAACCAACAAACCAACTAACAAGCCAGCCAACAAACCAACCAACCAATCAGGCATTCGACAAGAACAAAGATGGCCTCATAACGAAAGATGAATTCAAACAAACCCTAAAAGGCGCTGGGATAGATATGACCGACCAAATGGTCAATGAACTCATGAACAAAGAAACCCTAAACTTCCGTTGTCAGTAATAATGATTACGCCATAGTTACGTCATAAATTTCATTAATTATGTATAATTATAATAATAATTAACACAATAAACACTAACTGCACAATTGATATTGCACTTTAACTTTAACCCTTGTAGTAGGGGTGGGCAAACTACGGCCCCCGCGAGGCCTTGTTCGCCAAAAATAAGGTTGCCAGCCAGGCATTATGACCAAAAAAAAGAACCAAAAATCTTAAAAAATTCTCCCCCTAGTCGAAGAATTTGCTATTTAAGTACTTATGCGGCCCTTCAAAGGTAAATTAGTTCTCAATGCGGCCCTCACACCAAAAAGTTTGCCCACCCTTGCTTTATACTATACTGCTATTCATAATTTTCAACATAATTAGTTATAATATTTTAAATATTTATTATTGAAATAATTTTTTTTCAGCATTTTGTGACCTGTTGAACCGGACGCACTTCAGATCATTATAGCAATAATTAATACTACCATAGCATCATTTATTAAGCAACGACAATAATTATTTTTATCTTTCTTCTTCTTCTTCTTCTTCTTCTTCTTCTTCAACCACTACTACTGCTGCTGCTATTGCTGCTGCTACTTCTACTGCAACAGCTTATTTTACTGCTACTACTACTACTATTACTACTACTGACATATTATTATTATTTCTAAATTGGTTTTTTATAGATTTTAAATAAATAAACAAATATCTCGGAAAATTTTTTTTAAAGATTTCATTTTGTAATATTAATAATAAAAAATACTAATGATAATACTACTAATAATAATAATTATTATTATTATTATAATAATAAAAATGTTCACTAGTAACAACAATAATAATAATAATCATAATAAACCAATAAATAAATCATTCCTTGTGGCTCAACACGTTTTATTCTTATTCAAAGGACCCGGCAAATAATGATAATAATAAATAATAATAATAATCAGTATTAATAAAACCGATAATAACAAGAAAGTTTAATAATAAAAATATAGATTGATTTATATGTCTTTCGAATATATACATACATATGCATAAATCAAACATTTATCCGTGTATAACTATTAAATAAGTAAAAATTTTTTGAAAGAACTGATCATCGTCATCATCATCATCATCATCAATAACAATCATCATTATGATAAAATGATAAAATGATGATGATAAATCATCTTCATTATCATTGTCATCATCATCATCATCATCATCATCATCATCATCATCATCAATAATAATAATAATATTATCACGCCATCAACATTGGAAAGATTGCATTATAATTATTTTATGATATCATAATTACTATCACGATCTTACTGTGTTCCATCATATCATCATTGCCATTCATAAAAATTTTTATCACTATCGTTAGTAGTAGTAGTATTAGTATCATAATCAACACCGAATCATCCTCATCTTCGTCATCATCATCACCAAATTATCATCAGCATCATCACCAAATCATCATCATTAATACCAAATCATCATCATCATGTTCACCTTCATTATGAAGCTTTCAATAAGTTGGGTAACTAAAAACTACAAGGGCTATGTTTATGAAATTGTAATAAAATATAGGATAATTATTATTTTTATTATTATTATTATCATTTATTGTTGTTATTATTTTATTATTTATTGTTGTTGTTGTTGTTGTTATCTACAAACAAACAAACAAGGCGCGCTATTTTTTAGAAAATTTTTCACAATCAAATCCACGTCATCGTCATCATCATCATCATCACCGTTATTATTATTATTATTATTATTATTATTATCATCATTATTATTATTATTAATATTATTATTATTCCTATTATTAAAATATAAACAAAAATAAAATCGAAAAAAAAATATATATAAACAAAAATATAAACAAAATACAGTGAAAATAATATTTACACTACTAACCTAACGTTGCAAAAACAAGAATAAAAATAAAATTAAAATAAAATAATAATTTTTGTTATTATGAATGAGCGGCGATGACGATTTTGGTGTTGTGACAACGACGACTGTGGTAGTAGTAGTTGTGGTAGCTGCAGTAGTAGTGGTAGTAGTATCTTTATACGCTTTTGTAGTAGTAGTAGTAGTGGCATTAGTTTTTTTGGTAGTAGTTGTAGTAGCCTCACTGACATCAAAATCGAATCCGGGAGATGCGGATGGCTGGCTGACGTTGATGCTGTAGTCGTAGTTGTTGTCATACGTGGCATTGAAATCGTAGTCATCTGAAGAGTTGGTTGGTTGGTTGATTGGTTGAATGATTGATTCTTAAACTAATTGACTAATGGATTGATTAATTGGTTAATTGGATGGCAGTTCGATGGATATAGCGGTAGACCGATTAATTGAGTGATTGTTTATGGGTGGTTTAAAAAAAATGAAAGCATAGAACTAGATTGATTGAGTGAGTGATTGATTGGTCGATTGATTGATTGAAACTTTAAAAAATTTAGACAAGTAGAACCCCAAAAAAAAACAAAAAAAATAAAAAAAAGCAGAAAAGCGGAAATAAAAACTCACATCCACTTCCGCTTCCGTCGTCAAACCCGTCTTCATCATCATCATCATAATTTCCGTTACCATAATTCCCATTCCCATCGCCGCCATCATCATCGTCGGTTATTGAATAATTTTCGTCGGTATAATTACCGTCAAAAGAACCGTTTTCGAACCGAGACGGCAGGTTCGAGCCGCTAAAACCGCCCTCCTCATATTCGTCAAAGTAATTATTACTATCATAATTATTATTGTAATTATTGTTATAATTATTATTATTATTATCTTTATTATAAGCATACTCGTTATCGGCGTCATCGCTATCATCAAAATCATACGCGTCGTCATTGTCGTCATTATACTCGTAGTAGTCGTCGTCGTCATCCTCATCGTTATCAGCACCCCCCGGGCCGTGGATGAATGACGAGTTGTGTTCGGCGGGTGGGATGATAGAAGGAATAGGAGGGTAAGGTTGAGGTCGCTTGAATCCATTGAGGCTCAATTCTTTGGCCGATAGCTTGCTGACGATTTTCTGTTCGGGGGTTTGTTGTTTGTGTTATTATTACTATTTATCATTGCTGTTATTGTTGTTGTTGTTATTATTATTTGTAGTAGTAGTAGTAGTAGTAGTAGTATTAGTAGTGGTGGTAGTAGTAGTAGTAGTAGTATTGTTATCATTATCATAATTCTGGTTTCAAGTTGTCATAAATAACAAACAGGTTGATTGAAATGATTATAAAATCATCATCACCGTCTTTTTCATAAACGTTGTCCTCATCTTCATCATCAACGTCGTCGTCATCATCTTTATCATCAACATAGCCATCATCGTCGTCATCATCATCATCACAGCCATCATCGTCGTCATCATCCCAGCCATTATCATCGTCTTCATCCAAGCCAACATCATCGTCATCATCATCCCAGCCATCATCATCGTCATCATCCCAGCCATCATCATCAGTATGACTGACAGTGATGAGGACTTTGATGTCGTTGGTGATCTGAAGAACGCGCGCATGTTCGCTATGCGTCAACCTCCTAAGTTGCTTTTGTCGTTGCTTTATAATCGCCGACTTCAAATCGTAACTGTTTGTATATGTGTGTGTGTGTTTGTGTGTGTGTGTTGTATGTATGTGTGTGTATGTCTGTGTGTGTATATGTGTGGGCTGTATGTATGTGTGCTGTATGTGTGTGTGTGTGTGTGTATGTATGTGTTTGTTTGTGTTGCATGTGTTGAATGTGTGTGCTTTTGTTCGTTGAAAGGAAAGTCGATTTTTACACATACACATCTTATAATAAATTACAAATAAATACACACACTTAAACACACACGCATCCAAACACACGTACACACACACGTACACACACACACACACGCACACACACACGCACACACACACGTACACACACATCACATTCACATAAACACACATACACACCTCCCAATGTCCTCTCCATTCCAGCAATCCTTATAAAACCTAGCCTGTTTGGGATCGTTCATATCTGGAGCCTTCCCATTCTCAGCGCCGCACCAGAAATCCAGACGGAGGCCAACAATCCGAAAGTCGAATTTGAAATCGGAAGAGTTGACCGGATCAGATGTGCTCTTGTGTGCGTGTGTGTGCAACGACGACGACGATGAGGAGGAGGAGGAAGAGGAAGAAGATGATTGGATGTCCGGGCATTTCGATTTGATCTGTTTCAAAGATTGTTTCATTAATTAATATTATTGTATGCGGGGTTTTTCTGGTAAAATTTAATGCCGAAGATGCTAATGATTGAACGTTTAAAATTAATTTTATATCAGCGTCTGCCTTTTTTGATAAGTTTATCAAAATGTTTTATTATAATTTTATTTAAACATGATTTTTTCATTAAATAAAATGTTGTAGTTGTCGTGAATAAATAAAAAAAGGTGCCAAAAATATCAATTAAAATGAAATCTCAAAATGCACCAATCAAACTTCTCACCATATCGAACTTTTCCGACTTCCATTTTGGAAAGTTCATGAAACCTAGGTGAGTATAATGGTGATGACGACGATGAAGATGATGATGACGACGGACAAAAATGATGAAGACAAGTGAAGATGACAATAACGATTTCTATTTGAAGCTTTTCCAAGAAAAAACATTTAAAACGAGAGTTTTAGAAAGCAATAAAGTGCCATTCCACTGTCCTTAAATGTCTGCATCGAAATTGTTGGATCTCATAAATGATGAATTTGTTAATGGTGGAAACGAATGATGATGGCGATGGAAATGTGTTTATATGACGGCATCGCTGGGGATAATTTTGAACACGGTGTCGAGCGAATATATTATTGAAGAGAAAAAACACAAACCAACATTGGGTCAGACGAACAGACGAAAACAAACTTACAGACAGACAAAAACATCAGACAGACAAGCCGACATACATACATAAATACATTCATACATGCAGACGTATGGATAGAAATAAAAATGTATTCGAATTCACACAGCCAAACCCGGTTATGCATATTAATTAATTAAAACAACATAATTAAATATTCGAAATAAAATCCGTTGGGCGCACAAACAATTAATTGACCTATTTTGCTTGTCATCATCCTCATCCTCATCACATCACTATCTTCATCATCATCACCACAACTACCACCACCATCATCATCATCATCACCTGCTCTCATGGTTTTTTGGAAATGGTCAGCCATGTTAAAATTGTTGATCTTTACGACCAGCTGATCGATCAGCTGTTTGAAATTTATTGGTTGAATGGATAATTGGTTAGGTGAGTGTTTTGTTGGATGGTTAATGACCGACTAAACGAACGAATAAATGAATGAACGAACGAATAAATGAATGAACGAATAAATGAATGAACGAATAAATGAATGAACAAATAAATGAATGAATGAAAGATTGAGTGATTAAAAAACTATTCAATTAATTAATGCCGTGATTAAACGAGCACACATTATATCTATTGACCGGTTATAGAATACTAAATAATGAATATTTGAGTCCTTTCAACGCTAACTAAAAAAATCACAAAAGCCAAAAATCAATAAAAACAAAACACAAACACACATCACACAAACACACATACAACACACACACACAAACACACACAAGTACAAACACACATACAAAACACACACACAACAC